ATTAGCTGTAAAATTAAATTGTATTGATATTGTTCGTTCAATATAAAACTGTAATTGTGTACTTGATTGTGAGTCTATTGTTTCTTTAATTATATCACCAATACGAATGAAACGTGTCGTTTTACCTAAAAGAAGAAGAAAAAAAATTAATTTATTTTTTAAATTAATTTAATTAAACAAACCATAAAATAAATTTTGTTGACGAATTTTTGGTTGTGTTAAATTTATTTCTCGAAATGTTGGATGATAAAAATGTATTATTGATAAATAAATAGTTGATATTAAGAAACATAATGTTGTTAAAATAAAAATAATTGCAATTGTTTTCCATGAAAAAAAATTTCTTTGAAAATAATTTTCATCTGTTTTATGTTTTTTTAATCGATTTGATGAATTATTAAATAATGGACATGGTGAATGTGTTGATTGTCGTGTTGTTGTTGTTGTTTGTTCATTATATGTTGTTGAATCACAATTACAACGAATATGTGAATGAGAATGATGATGATGATGATCCAACGGATAAACATAACAATTATTTCGAAAACTAGAAATAAGAAGAAAAAAAATAATAAGAAATTATTCATGTCCTTGTTATGTCAATACAGTATTTAAATTGTTAATTAAATCAAACAAAATAATATTATTATCTATGTTGTAATAAAAGAACGGAAAAAGAATTTGAACATGTCTATTGTTCATTCAATGATCAGCCGTCCGGGTGTGACTTACTTTTTAAGTCAATACACAAAAAAAAAAAAAAAAGACTAATTCGATTTTTGTTGACAATTGCACCCTAATACGTACACATACACATCATCCCATTAGAGTGAAGAGTAGTAGCTATTACGCAAGATTACTCTACTTGATATATATGTATATGAAATATATAGACAGAGTGTCTAATTTGCATTGTGCAAACATAAACTATACGTATACATACCAAGGCAGTAATGGTGTATCAGGAAAAATCTCATTTTTATTGTCGTTTGAATGAATTACATATTCACGATGACTGAAAAAGAAAAAAAAAAGATTGATATTAATACAGACGTACAAGTTAATTAGTCCTACGGGAGCATATAACAACGATTATTAAGAGGTCTATACATGAACTTTTTTTTTTCTTCTTCTTTCTTTGTTATATATTGACGCAGGTGAAAATATTTGCTTTTTGTGCATTAACTGCATTTTAATCAATCAACGGGATACATAATTAAGTGGCTAACAGACCAAGCTAATAAACATAAGTCTTATTCGTTCCGGATGTACTACTAAAAGCTCTTTTCTTCTCTTCATATATATATATATATATATATATGTATGTCTGACTGTTTGATGATAATGAGAATAAATAACGTGTATACTTCTGTCTATATTTGTTCGAGTAATGAACATCAAACATACTTATTGAAAAAATAGAAAGAAGTAACTAACCTGTCGGCATCAATTGTCTGATAGACATTTGATAAATTAGAACGTGGTCGATCAATAGTTGACATTGTTGTTGTTAGTTGAGTGGAATTTGGACATGAGTAGGCGGAAGATCGAAGAGGAAGTGTACCATTATTAATATTACTACAGTTTGGATCAATAGTCGAAGAAGACATCAATGTACCTAGAAAAAAAAGAGAATGAATATGAATTTATTGACTGGAAGAAATACATATGATGATATTGTGGCATTTAATGCGTAATATAATAGAGAAATATGATAGACTAAACAAATTTCTCACGTTTCGTAATCACCTGCTGGACACTAGAAATACAGAATACTATCGAACCCATACATATATATATTTATATATGTGCCTTATTTCGATCATCATCATGCATCTTAATATGGTCGAATGTATCATGTGACAGTAGATAAATGAGATGCGATACTATTTAGCTAGCTTTCGTAATCTCGTAATGCAAATTCTCATTCTTCTTTACACGTGTGTATATGAATTCATCATTAACATCATAGAACATTAATATGAATGACAAACTGAAGGCCATTGATTAAAATAATGATTCAATATCTATAATATAAGACTGACCTGAGATCAATAAATGTGTTGCATTAACTAGTATGCCGGATGGCAACTGTGAAGGGCGATAAGTCTTTTTTCTTCTTCTGCTTCTTCTTCTTTTATATTCATCTTCTTTCTTTTTTTCTTTCTTTTCCCTTTTCTCTGGTGTGTTCATCAGACTGTAGGCAAATTCAATCGACACTACACACATACATACATACACACACATACAGGCGCAACCAACTGATAAGAACTGAGACTAATCGATCTCTGCTGGAATGATATCTTCGTGAATGCGTGCATGATTCTCTTTTTGCTTTGTCGTCAATTGATTACCACAGCGACCCGAGTGCCGTGTCGAAGACAATTAGAACAAGAGTTTGTCACCGCCGCTGGATAGAAGAATACCAAATCGAACCCGATGTGTTCGATCAAGAGAAAGAAAAAAAGAGTAGAACTCAGGGTCATACACAACATCCGCCAATAATCAGAACTCAACAATTGTTAGAATGTGTACGGCAACGCGTAATCAAACGACCGTATAAAAAGAGAGGTCAGCGAATGCACAATCAAGTTCTAATAGAGCTTACTTCCTCTCTTAGTCTTGCATATGCATACATCCGGATCAATACTAGGATATACATACGTTTAAAACAATCAAATATAAATTGAAGAAGAAATTTATTCTATTAATTATACCTTGTGCATGTGGTATTAAGAGAGCATTGCCAGTTTGTGTCTGTATCATGAAAGCAGTACAAGGTGTTGACGATGGTATTGGTGGAGGAGGTACAGGTGGAGCAACGGCATGTGAACTTGATGAATCAAAACCACTATCAGCCATATAGGTGTTAGTTGTCATTGAAGTGTTATCACTGCACAAAAGAATTGAATTACGTGTTGTTGTTTTGATTTGACTAAGTAATGTTGTATGATCAACAGGAATCATAGGAGGATGAGATGGCGGTAGTGGAGGTGGAACTGGTGGTGGTATAAGAAGTGGTGATAAAACAGTTGAATCCATTGCAGAATGGCTTCCTTAAAAAAAGATACACGAATGCATGAATTACTGAATTGTATGAAAAATAAGTATCTTTTTTTTTTGACAATCCTATGTTAGTCAATTGTCCTTCTTGCAGTACAATGATCAAACGATGACTGGACACTCTTAACCTTTTTTTTCTCTATCTCGACGTGTCCACGTCAATAGTCACTTCACACAAATAGCTAGAAGCATTTTATAGAATTCAAAAGAAGGAAAAAAAAACTACCGATATATATGATTAATCATTCATCGAAATAAACTTACATCGTATGAAAAAATATAATGTTGCGTGTATCAACTCAACATTGTTCTGATTGCTTACTAGTACCACTTGCATGTCACTTGGTGTTCATTATGATTTTTTCTTACTTTCTCTTTAGATGAACGAAGCAAAAAAAATGAGCAAAGGCGAGAACTATAAACTCTTCTATATTGTACGTAAGTGTAGAATAAAAAGGTGTCGACCACTACTACTTTCTTTTTGATCGTTTCCTTGTCTTCTTTCTCTCCCTCTTCCTCTCTCTCTCTCTCTTTCTTGGTAACACTTTTTTCTGTCTCTTTCTCTCTCTCTCCCTTTCTTTTCTTGCTCGTTACGCTTAGACGGCAATCGCTTTTTACTATAACATATATTTGCAGCGATGTCAGAAGAGAATAAGTCACTTCAGGTTTCTTCCAATTGAATGTGTATCTATTTTGAGTTTTAATTCAAACAAAAAAAAACCAAGAGCAACCAAAGCGTGATAACACCCTTGTCTACAATTGCTTAAACTGTCTACTCTCGACACAATAGATATGTATGTCTATGTGTCCTTTTTTTTGATTAAATTCGATGACAAGCTGAACGAGAAAGTTGCAATTAATTTGAAACGATCATCAATAATGTGCATATGTGGGTACATATGTATGTGCAACAGTTTGTCGCCTATCGTACGTCGTCATCATCATCATTTTGACCTGCATTTCTATGGTTTAGTTATTGTAACGCATGAAACGAAGGAGAGAACCATATACAATACAACTGAATGCAAAAAGTGCTTCAAGAAGTATATATATATGTGTGTGTATATATATACAGTAATGGTAAAAAGTAACAGTAAAAGAAAACAAAACAAACATCATATTTGACCGTCATCTCTATGAACAATTTTAATTATGATCTTGAGCTAGACGAACAGGAGGAGTGCATTGAAAAGACAGAGACGTATCAAAAAAAAAAGAACAACGAGGACCACCAAGTGATTTTTAATATTATTTACTCGTGACCAGTTTGATATATAGGTTACATTGAAGTTTTTTATCATTACTAGACAATCGATAATACACTACTCTTATGAATAATAGTCGAGCGACAGTTAGATAGGATCATCAATCGGCGTATTTCGTTTGTACACTAGAGAACAATAAATTTATTCTAGGTTGCGTGCTACATTCGTTTATATTATGTGTATTAGATCGACTGGTGCGATCTAGAATATTCAATTTCTCGTCGTTGTCACCACCTTAACATGTAGAAAATTGACATACCATGCAATATTACGTGACAACACATACAAACATTGTTGTATGAATAATGAAAAAAAGAAAAGAAAAAGAATGTCGTCATTGTTCCGCGATCGTAAGACAATTAGATCGATTCGAATACGGAAGAAAGAAAAACGAGAAGTTTTTTAGAAAATCATGATTCTTTTTTGCTTGAATAAATCGATTGCTCGAGGATAACCTAGCAATGATCATTGTTGATGATAATTGCCATTAGAACAAAACATATATTCCCACCCGCTATGCTTAGCATGGTGTCTCAAGAAAGTGTGAGTTAATTCAATTAGAAATGCCGTAAGCAAGAAGACTAACTGAGAAATGTTATTTTAATATATACATATAAAAACATACTAAATAGAAAATGAGTTTTTTTTTTTGGTGTTTTGTTTTCTACTAAACTAACCTGATTCGTCATCATCATTGCTTGTTATTGGTGGTGATGTATTTGAATCATCTAATGAAGAAGTTGAGTGTTCAATATGATGTTCAGATATAGGTTTCATATTTGTATTAGAATGCATACATCGATCAATTGTACATAAAAGTGCGGCATTCGTTGTAACATTCGGATTATTGTTACCATTTATTTTATGTTGAAGATATGGATGATGGGCACATGAACATAAAATAATGTCTTTAGTAGTTTGATGATGTCGTTTATGACATGATGATCTGTGAAATAAATTTGTTGATAGTGGCGGAGGTATGAAAGATGTACAACAGGATGACGATGTTGGATGAACACCTGCGTATAAAAGAAGAGAGAAAAAAAAATTAGCCCCTATCGGCTCTACATTCACACACACCAAACAACATAAATAATCGTTAGTTGAGACCATTAATGAACCACACACACACTCAGACACTTTAGCCCTTCTCTTCGCATGCCGCTCGGCAGGGATACAACAGACTGTTCTTTTCATCTTGATAGGTAAACAAGACTCACTCACCAGATTCTCCTCCTATGCTCTGGTGACCTTATCTCATATATATATATATGTATATTCTCTTAACCAAAAAAACCGCTTTATATAGTATAGAAAAATCTTGATAAAGATACTTTATAAACTATCGTTAGCAATTTGTCAAAGATATATATATGTGTACAATATTATCCGTTTTATGTAACTCTTTCGATTGATCTTTTCGATTGCGAGTTACAATCTATTGTGCATCATGCACTGATGAACATCTGTGTCCCAATATACACTCTCAGGACTTACATCATGTATAACAGAAGAAATAAGAAAAAAGAAAAGAAATCTCTTGTGTGTATACATATATATATATATACATTTGAATTGATCATGCAAAAGAAAACTGTACGATTGTATTTCATCCAAAATATACACGACAATGACGATTTAATCGTGCATGTCCACCATGGTCATTCTCAATTCAAATACAATTATTACATAAGAGTAGAACAACAGGCATGTTCTATTTCTTGGATTAGAAAAGACAATTGGTTAGAATATTAATATACACGAGAGAAAAAAAGGGAAGAGTATATGAGGAAGCTGCAAGGACACACATGTCGCACGAGACTGAAAATTGAATTGTTATTGATGACGCGATTTTAAAGATATAACAAGCAATAAAAAAAGAAGAAATAAAATAATCACTAAAAACGAGAATAAAACGCGTACTATAATCATCTCATCATTATGGTTAATCTTGTCAATATGAACATGAATATTTCACTTCGAAAAACTATCAATATATGATCGAACAAATATAATGAGCATGATTTGATTCAATATTATATGTATAAATGAGCAATTTGTCATGATATACAAGAATCGAATGACTAGTTTTGATATTCATCATCGCGACACGAAAGAAAAAAGTGATGATATGTATCATGATCAATCTTCATGAAATGAACAAAAAACATATTTGTTAAAATGAAAACATGTCAGATCATAATCATTTATATTTAAGATTTGCTTTATTTCATCTTAGAAATCTTACCATATTGTATTGATGTTTGTTGTTTTGTATTTGACATTGAAGAGGAGGAGTTATTGTATGAATCTGAATAATAACCACTTTCAACTTGCCATCCATGAGTTGATGATGGAGGACAATGAATATTAACCATTGATGTCCGTGACGTTGTCATAATCTTAAGTTAAATGAAAAGAATATGAATAAAAAAAAGAAGGCGAATCAAACCAACATTATTTTTCTCTTTCTCTCTATGATCAAATTTCTCTTCTCTCATTCTCCCTTTCTCTATCGTTCATATATTCATTGTATATACTTATATACGTATGTGTGTGCATCATCTGTGATTAAAAAAAGACAGATGAATATCAACATATTTACTTCTCGACTTTGCTCACGTAATGCTATGAAATACGACAAAATAAAATCGAAGAAATTAGACAGCTTCTGTTTCTCTTAGAATCTTAACTGACAGGTATCGATATCGATGATGTTGATGATTGTTGCATCAGAAAAGAGACGTATTTCGTGCTGCAAATCATCATCAGACTTATAAGACTAGTCGCGTCTTATTACTCAATAATGACAGCTCGACTCAATCAATCTATATCATCAATATTGACTTTCCGGATCGGATCAGATAGCACATATTGCTTAAAGGTTATTTGTGTTTCGTTTTTTAATTATAATCATTCAGAAATCATTAACGATGAAAATAATAAAATGTATATGAATTAAAACTTCTAATGCTCATCCGAAAACATTGAAAAAAAAAAAGAAATTTTTTATCTATCTATCTATCTATATATCTATGCTGTGCAAAATATATTTGCCTTTATGTGATATGAAGAAAAATATATATACGATAAAAAGTTATCATCCTTCGGCAAGGTCTTTAAAATTATATTATGTAGAAATGATCCATACTTTCAATAAGTATGTGTGTGATCTTGTTGACATCTGACTGAGCACATACACATGGTCAATCTGATTATGATAGTAATAAAATCACTGCCAATGACATATAATCGGAATGTTCAAAACTTTTTTCCTCTCTCTCTCTCTCTCTTGTTTTTAATAATTGACACATGAACGTTAAACGTGTATCATCTCACATTATTTACATAGTGAAGGGTAATGGTGGGCTCTTCTCATATTCAATGTTTTTGTTCAATCGATAAAAACGACAAATAAATCTAATCTCGCACCATGCTGCACATATTTCTTTTTGCTTTCTAATGATTTCGATTGAATATAGCAAACATTAGGATATCACCAACCATCATTTCATTCATATCATTCAATGAATATAGAGAATAAATTAAAGCAAGCTGGGCTCGTATGTATGCCAAATATAATAACTGTCAATCAATATACAAACACAAAAAGTGAAACATGTGCTGAACACCATAGGTGATTTTTATTCAAATGAGACAAAGAAAAACCAAGTGCTTTTCTCTCTCGCGTTCAATTAGTGACCTAAGCTAATAGAATAACAAAAACATACATATATAAATATCTATGCAGCTTTATATGTCGACTAATGGTAAAAGAAATCACTTAATTGTAAATTGAACTGACTTGACTCGAAGCATTTCTATCCTTATCAGTACGGTTCATTTCTTTATGATTTCTTTTTTTAATCTACCTTCACTAGATAAGAAAAAAAACGATGATTGTTTGAAGCCTTATTTTTTGACTGGTATATAAATGAAAATAAGATGCAATTCGAAATGACTATGAAGCCAAACTATCAGACGACAAACAGGTATTCATCAAAAAAAAAGTCACCTCTATATTTTAGATGAGGTCAATGGATTAGAAGAAAAACAAAAAAAAAATCAAAAGATATCTTATCGATTTTTGAGACGCAATACTTACGACGACAAGTGTTCACACATACTTAACCTATGAATGTCATGAACATAGGCAAGAGAAAACAAAATAAAAAAAAAGAATTGATCTAACTTTAGCCTTAAGCATTTACTTTTTCTCTTCTATTCTTCATTTGATTTGAAGTCAATTATCAAAGAAGAAAAGAAGAAAAAAAATCTAAATCAACGATAAAATTTAGATATATATGAAAAAAGAAACCAATCTTTGATCATTGACATATGTTCATTTCTCATATTTACTATTTTAATTTAAGTACACCTGCCTAATTTCCATGGACGAGTACAAAAGAAAGACAAAATGTAACATTTTAGATATATCTTTTTTCAAGTTCAAAAAAAAAGAAAAGAAAAGAAAAGTAGTCCTTGATCATGCACACATCTGTGAGCCGTTCTTGACCCTCACCGCTAACTTCTAGCGCAGCCATTCACACATAATTTATGTATTTATTTTCTTTGACAAAAGACAGCTGGCTCACCTGGTCATCAAATCTTGATCGTTTAATTGATTCATTTGAACATATGGATACATGTATGCGCTTGAGATAACAGTAAAATAGACGAACAATACGGCATCATAAACAAGTTTATTATTAGTCTTCGAAACAATGACGTTTATTTCACGCTCGAGCTATGATAACTATGCAAATACATTGAGAATAAGAAAATGAAGAATGAACATCAGGGACGACGATCGTATATAGAAAAAAAAGAGTAAACTACACATTTCCAGATAATGCACTTATTTCGGCTATTAATTTACATATACATAGAACGAAGGCAACGGCTGTTACTAAGACCACAAGTACGATAAACCATGCACGAAATAGATATTTGATCGGTCCCTCGAGGACATCAAGATGACGATGGAAGAAAAAAAAATGAAAGAAATTTGTACAGACTGATACAAAACAAATTGGTCATCAACTATGATAGACGATGACCTGAGTGGAAGAAAAGATTGAGCGCTGACATAACTCTTTTCTTTTTCCTACAAATGACAATCGATCGTTTGTGGTCAGTCAGATTCAACATCTCACCAGCTCGTTAGGGTTCCTAGTAGAACTCAGGAAAAAAAATGAGCAAAAGAACTAATCGATTCATCGATAGACTTATTATCATGTACAATACTTACGAGAGTTCTTTACGTATAGTAGTAATCAAATGAAGTGAATCAAGTCAAAAAAGCGTGGAGACAAGAAAATGAACATCATCATCATCATTCATCTCTTTCTCATCTATCGGAGACATACTGCGAAATCCACTCGACAATGAGAAGATAGTAGGGCGGCGATGTTAACATTGTCCTCTTGAAAAATTAGTACACAGCTGTGTCGAAGTACTCAGACAGACAAGCGTAATTTATATGAATCGAAAGAGTAAAAAAGATGAAACTAACTCGAATTGAATCGATTTGTTGGTGACAATAATAACAAAAGAAACTGAGAATTATTTATCTTTTTTTAATTGTATTTTTATCAACAGCTGCAACGTTCGTGTTTATATGTGTCGAGTTGACATTTATTTCACGATTAAGAAAGTAGATAATAGGCAACTATGGGTCATTCAATACTCGAGACACAATAATGTCTGTTGAACGTCAAACCTTCTGCAAAGGAAGGAAATGTGGCGTGTTGCCAGACAATAGATACATACGTCTCTTTAAAAAAGTAGTATTGACGGAAACAAATCATGAGTGGCACGAGGCGAGAAGTATTATCTGTGCTTTTTTTGATTGATGATCGGTGTGAACTTTTCATATACAAATCAATGACGGAAATATGAACGTCCTCTTTAGATTATTCTTTATCAAATATAATAGATTTCGATCATTAAAAATAAACTGTTTCATGAGAAAGATCTTCTTGTTGTAAGACAAAATCCTGAAATATTGAACAATAAAGATTAATGATTCTATTGAAGTAGAAATTTATAATTTTGAATTGTATCAATGCAATAAATTAGAATAAAATAAAGCTTTAAATTTATCAATAATCTGAATTGTTACAATGATTTTAATCAATGCTTTTTTCTAACAGTGAAACACGTTATATGATGAAAAATTTCTAGCGGGTGTCGCAGATTAGATGGTACAATATCATTTCTTTTTTGGCGGTCACGAGGGAACTCTACCTACCGATAACGTGTGTTCATGCTCATATTTTACTGATTGTTAGGGTCTATTGTGAAGATAAACGTTCAAAGAAGATATATATGCCCCTAGCACTTTCTTGAGTTATGATTATTTTATTGACTCTTCAGTCTATTTCAGGATATGATGAGAAAAACTCAACCAAAAAAAACTATACCTGTACATACATATATATAATAGTTTCTATAATATACTGAAAGTTTCAGATCAAATGGATGGTCTCTTCGTAAGCTATTTTATACTCAAAAAAATCGGATACTGTGAGAAATTAACGAATTTACAATTCTATTATCTTGTAATAGAACCATTCATTTTTGTTAAAACTTTCAGGATGTTATCAGGACTAGGAGATCTATGTACAAGTAAAATTTCTTGATATAGTTTTCTTCGTAATATATTCTGTAATGGACTGAAGACTCATTATAATGATCATAACTCAAGAAGAAAGGGTAAGAGTATGTATGTTCTTAGAATCTTTATTTTATAATGAACTATAAGAATCAGCAAAATATGAACTTGAATAGATGCTATTAGTCGGAAGAATTCTATTGTCAGGTATGTTTTCAGAAAGTCATTCGATACAAATTTTTTTTCTGTAGAAAATTATTGCATTTTTTTTGTTGAAGCAACATTTAAAATATTCACATGTACTGAATTGTCTAACAGCGATAATCAAAAAATGATGTAAATATTTTTAACAACAGTTTTCTGAAATGACAAGCAGGCTACCACGTTCTGTATCTTTTAGTATATGTTTTATAATTCGATGATCATCATAAAGTAAAGACTAGAAAAAAGCATTGTCTTACAGAATCATGTGATTATTCTTTTCATTTCGATAGAGCCTAATTGTTTGTACTCATTAACTTAAGAGCCAGAACATTTTTGTTCAAAATTAAACTGAAAAATATCAGTATGTTTTATTCTCATGAACGATCACACCGAGAACTTTGAAAAGATCGTAGAAGCAGAGAGCACAAAATTGTCTATGCATTATGGCACTGACTACGTTAAATTTTGGATTGGTTGTCATAAACAAAGACTTACTGCAGAAATTCACAGTTAGATGATTGAACAAACGTTTATATTTTTAATTTTGCTTCAACAAGAAAAATTTGTTTGAAAAACAAACAAAACAGTTACGTAGAGTGAAAAATTCTCTATCGGATAAATTACTGAAAGTGGATCAGAATGAACCAGAAAGAAAAGAAAATTATATTGTCCCATTTAATCTGCGTCACTCGTTAATGTTCTTATTCATTCCTGCTTTGTCATGTAATTGATCTTTATAACATTTTCCTACTACTAGTTTTTTTTTGTGTACTTTTAGCGATACTTAAAGAGCATATACATGATGAAATGCAATGTAAAATACATTGACAATTATCGAGAGAACAAAAGAAAACATTGCATGTTCCTTGAGTATTTCGCAATACTCATAAGAGACTGTGCAATATCTGTAAAATGATTAATTGATGAATCACTATTGATATGTATTAAACAAATAGCGATGGCGTTATTGCACAATCATAACTATTTATTTATTTAAAAAGTATCGTTTTATTACAACCAACCAATTATTCAAAATAATATAAGATGGCAACTTCGTATAATTCTTCTACTAAACAAACCCCTCAACAAAATACGAATAGTTCAATGAATCAATCATTATCTATATATGTTGGAAATCTTTCATTTAATACTATTGAAGAAGATTTAAGAAGATTTTTTAATGATATATGTGGCAATGTCAAACGAGTACGTATTATCTATGATAATAATACACATCAAAGTCGTGGTTTCGGTTTTGTGTATTTTAATACAGTTGAAGCATTTAATAGTGCACTTCAACTTCAAGATTGTCAATTAGATGGACGAGAACTTCGAATTGCACTAGCCGAAGCAAAAAGTTCTTCATCATCATCTTCTTCTGCTTCTACTAATACAAATACAAATAAATCTGCTAATGTTACCAGTAGTGTTGTATCTCAAACAACAAATAAACCAAGGACAATAGTAGTACATTGCAAAAAATCAAATTATGATGTTTATATAGGTCGACCCTCGGATTGGGGTAATCCGTTTGTTATTGGTAAAGATGGTGATCGAGCAGATGTTATTCAAAAATATCGTAGTTGGATAATGCGTCAGCCGGATTTATTAGCTCGAGCTAAAAAAGAACTTCGTGGTCAAAGAATTGCGTGTTGGTGTAAACCAGAAGCATGTCATGGTGATATTCTTGCTGAAATAGCTGATACTGATTAATTAAAATAGTCATTATGGTTTCTTTTTTAAAAATTATTTTTCAAAAGAAATATATCATTGATTTAAATATTCCCTTAGTTTTTTTGACTCAATTGGTTTATCTATCATTTTACACCTGATGGAATAAAATTTTAATAAATTTGATATAAATCGTACTTGTTTATTGAATGAAATAAAGATCTATTTATGGTATTAGTAACAAGATGTCATAATGAATATCAAAATATCTATTAGTTTAAGGAGATCATCCTGCTCTTTTGCAACCATCAATTTTTTTGTCTGCTTTATATACACTTTGAAGAATTTGCTATGTACTGGAAATAATTCAAAAATTAATATATATCTACAAAAGTCAAACAATCCTAAAGAACGAAACACATTTGCTGATAGGAAAACATTAATATCTCATTTCTTTATGTTTTGAAAATTGAGTTTTTGACGAATGTGAAGAATTGTTCTCGTTTTTCAAACACCATAAATCCAATATAGCTGAAATTATTTTCTTTTACTTATACTAGCAAATATTTAGAGAACCAAAATGTTTTTGTTATTTCAAACTATGATTTATCGGTGGTTTAGGCTAGGATGCACGAAAGAAAAAGTGCATTTTTTGGAGTTATTCTTAGTATTTTGATCTTTTTATTTGAATGGAAGGAAAGGAAAAAGAAATTAAATAACAGGAGGCATCTCAAGCCGTGTCTAGTATCTGTAAAAAACAAAAGATTCATGTCGGTCAGACCTATTGCAATTGAGAGAGTAGAGCGGGCTCAATTTCTCATAGAAGAAGGTATTTGAGAACTTTGTGTTTAGGATAAGTTTTGCTCTACTTACTGATATCTATCTATTCAGAAAGTTTCAAATGTTTTTTAACATTTATTCTGCTCCAATACTGGAAACATGACAGGGCCGATCTAATCTTCTTAACTTTTGATAATATCAAAGATTTTTAAATTAAACAAGAGGCAAAAATAAGTAAATAAGATATTTTATTCTTATTGTTATGGCCAATTGACATCTGACATTCAGAAAAAAGTTAAGATAAGAAAAAAAAGAACTTAAATCGACAAACATTGTCTTTTACTGTTCTTTCATCTTGACATTTTTAAGAACTTCTCTTCTCAGGATAAGATACACTATGTTACTTTTTTTTTTTTGGATAATTTATTTATAAATGACTTCGATTTGATTACGAAATCCCTATGAAATAGTTAGTGTCAAATGAGAAGAATTCATATCATGATATTTGTCTTCATCATTGAAAAATGACTAAAAACATGAGATAAAAATGGAATGTAGTTATGTTACTTGATATAACCATGTTTATTCAGCGTCTTCTTAAGGATATTACTAATAAATGAGAGACATCTAATAAGTGTCAGAATCTGTTCTTGTCAGCTGGAAAAACAATCAAAACAGTTGTAAAGGGTTAAGTTCTTTTTACTAATAGCTAAGCATATTTATCTCCTACGCTTAATTTTTTATACTAGAATTTATAGATGGATTAAATGATAAGGTTTAATCTTGAAAAAAATTTTTAACGAAGGTCTATCGATTAATATTTTTTTCTTTTTTTTGTATTTGATATTGGAAATATTAATTATTGTTAAAAATGTTTATCTCTTTACATAGAGATCTATTATTTCTGAGTGCCATTTTTCTATTCTTGAGGATATTTATCTAAACTTTATGGTGGCTACTATTGTCCTGTTGTGTTCTTTTTTTTCCCATTTATACATATACATTTATACATCAACATATTCTCAGCTAGTCTGACCGAGAGGTGAAGCTAAAAAGAGAAATGATGCTCGTAGAGTATAGTGTGCTGATAACATCTGAGAGAACAGAAAATAATGACGACCAGTAGTAGTAGTATCAACCGTGGCAGTCATAGTCATAATAATAAAGAGCATATACGTAACGGTAAGGAAAAATAGTCGAACATACAGATCCCTATTGATTACATAAAAACAATGATGGATGTTCAAGAAAGAACAAATGTAAGATTTCTTTTTTTTTTATGTATTTGCATGTCTTTTCTTCAGTATCCAAGATCTTTTATTATTACATATATAAATATGATAATGTCGAAAGAGAAAAATAAGAAAGTTTGCTAATCGAATTTGGCGATAAACGAAGACAGTAAGAGCAAATATCATTTCTGTTTCTCCTCAGCAGGATTCTAAACTTGTTTTATGTATTACGGTATTGATAAGCGATAAGCGAAAAAAAAGAAGAGAGTAGTGTTTTGCTCCTGCTGGCCGTTCTCCCATTTAAGACAATCACTTATTTAAAAGTTGCAGTACATTTAATAAATGAAACTTTTACTTAGACGATTCATAGTGAATATATGATAATGTGGTTTTTCAATAGACAGCGAACATCCCGAATGGTAAAAATTTTACTTCTTTTTTTTTTTTTAAACATCGATACTTTAAAAACGGGAGACACAAGAATACGACAAACATTTTTTGTTATTCTTCTGCTACGAAAACATTTTTTCAGGTTTTTTTTTTTTTATTTCGTTTGCTTTTTTCTTTATGTCATTTCTTCTGCTCGTTTGATTTGTCATTAATATACTTCAAACAAACTAACATACTGTAGAGTAAAAATGTAGATGACGATAGAAAAAGAAAAACTAACAAAGTAAATAAATATTTGAGGCAACTATTCACTTGCACACATTATCTTAATGCGTACTAATAAGTAATAAAATAACGAAGAGTAGCAAAAATCTTATATGCATATGTAGGCAATATATACATTCGCACCTTTAATCAATTCATATAATGAGACGCAAAATAAAAAAAAGAAAGAATCATATACATATGGAAAAATATTGACGTATATTGTTTGCAATCGTTCGCTGATAAATTAGTTTATATAAAATAAAACAAATGAGAAACTGCATTATAATACGAACAGTTTTATGCTTGTAAATTTTTTTTATAACTTTACTACAAAGAATATTGTATATACTGTTATTACTTTGACAAAAACATAGTACTATATGTATGAAAGAAAAACATACATATCTATACATTGTATTCAAAAGGAATAATAGGGATGATAGGATGATTCATTAACTGAATGCACAGAAGAATAAAAAAAAAAACTATACGTTCTTCTGACTGGACGTGTGTATAACTATGTAACATCATTGTTACACCTACTATCTACTTTTTTTTTCGCTTGTCTCCTTGTGCTGAAGGATGGTTATTATTATCGAGTCACTCGACTATTGTTAAGGTAATAGTTGTTTCGATTTTTTTTTTATTGTGTCAGCGATTTGTTTGATAGCGTAGTTTCAATTTCTGATTTTTGTTGTTGCTTCTGTTTCTATTAGTACAACCTTGCAGGTGTCTTTAAATCGTATATGTATTAATAAAACGAATTGTTTCAATATTATGTGAATTTTTTTACTTTACAGAAACTATAAAGAATCTTTGCAGAATAAATTAATTCAATAAAAAGAAAAGAAACACATGATAATAGATTGATAAACTTTGAACTGATTTGAATTATAATTGATAGAATCTTCTATGTTATTTATATCATGAATATTTCTAATTTGACTGTTTATTTTTCAAATAAACTCTTATTTTAAAAGTGGATGCTTCTTTTCTGTAGTACAAAAGTATCTTACATCACTTAAAATTCGAAAGATGTCATTAACTGTATTCAAAATAAAATGATAATAATTTCCGTTATTTTAAAATTATTTTAGCTTTTTTCATATTTCTAATACAATAAGTATGTAAAAGAAAATGATATTATTCAATTTTGAGATATAAAAATTTTTCGAATTAATACCAAAAAAAATATTCTGAAAATGAAAAAAAATGAAATAATTCTCGAACAATTCGCATAGGTATTACAATTTTTTCTCAGTTCTTTTTTTTCGTTCTTATTTGTTCCATTTTTTTTACACACATATGTGTGTATGTAAAGTCTCCAAATCACATTTCAATACCATGAAACGTCGAATCAGTAGTAATAGCAAGAGCAGCAGCAGTAGTTTTAATAGTGTTGGCAGCCACGACAATTCCGATGTAGAGTTACTTAAAAAAAATTAATTAATTGTTTTTGATTTAAATTTATTACAAAATATCTAAGTATTTAGGTCAACTTTGACGACGCACAATCACCATCAATACCAACATCAATGGATAAAGAATATTATCGACAAGTACCATATAGATTTTTTAACAATGAATCAAATACAGATGCATGTAAATTGGAAAAATTAACTAATTTATTTCCTGATATGAAAGAAATTATTGAATTAGGTATCATTAATTTATTTTTAAATAAAAATAAAATAAAATATCTTTTTTTTAATATGTTTTAAAAGAATTATTTAAAACGAATAATTTAACACGTACAATCGACCGTCTTTCACGTATATATACAGTTTTAACAGCCCTTGATATTCGTGATGATACGCTACATTTATTTCTTGGTCCATATCATCTTTCACTTGGTCCGGCATTATTTGCAGCGCTTCATTTTAAAAATGCTTCAGCAGCATTACTTACATCATCAAATCTAATAACAACAGGTAATAGTGAAAATCAACGACGTAAACGTCGACGCGAAATTATACTTCGTCGATTTCGACGTTCTGTACGAAAATTAACTCTTGTTAAATCAATTATTGATCAACTTCGAACAGCTTCGATACTTACACCATACAATCAATATGAATTACATACACAAGGAATTTATGATCTTGTATTAGCTGGACATACACAATGTTCTAATTCAACACTTATTAATGATGATTTTCTAGAACAATTACGAAACTTTAATGCCGTAACAAGTGCTGGAGAACGAAGTCCTTTACTTGCATCAAATTTTATTAAAATACATAATATACTTAGTCTGTTGTCGTCACCTCAACAACAACAACAGCACCAACATCAACAAGTACAAGCAGTAGATAATAGTATGACAATAGCAAGTAGCAATTTGATACGAGTTCCATCAAATGAATCAATTACAAATGCAACAACTAATAATGATCCTGTTGGTTTAATAAATTCTACAACAGTATGTTGTCCAGTTCATGATCCAGCACAACCTTATGTGATGTTCCCTGTTCGTTCACCAATGAGTCCTCAACCTGGCCAAATTTTATCATCAGGAAATCGTTCAAGACGCCTTAGTAAGGCTAATTCACTAAAAAGATCATCTACTATTTCAAGACAAAATACGGTATGTTACATATATATAATATATATATATATATACATGTATATACATATGTAAAATACATAAAATCTCATCGTGCAAACATACGAGAAATGTAACGAATACTTTGAGTCTCATTTTCTAGTGATTATATTATGTTTGTGTCTAGCATACAAATATGTAAAGCATTCATAGGTCTCTTTTTCTTCTCTATTGATGTACACATACGAATAGAGACAAATGATCTCCTTTGTCAATTAGTCCTTTTGCTCATATATCCTGTTCCGTTTTAACATTATTACGTCATTTGAAAGAAAAGTCTAATCAAACAGGTTATAGTTTTTTTCTTCCGTTTTACACAATAGGTCAATAGTTTGCCTGACTCGACTACTGGTGATGATTCTCATTCAGAACAACCAACAGCCAGATCAGTATTGACATCAGCACAATCAAACCCCTTAGAAACTGAATTAGATATATCAACAAATGTAATAGCAGAACATCTGTTTGCTTCATCTCCTCTTTTCTCATCATCGCCGACCATTAGTGAAGATGATGCTCTTGTCAATCGTATTTCATCTATTTTAACAAGCCACTTGTTATCTCGCCAATTCACATCTACAACACTGATAACATCTAATATTGCTCATGAAAACGAGACCAATTCAAATTTAAGCGATAGCGCTATTTCTCTTTCAACTGGTGGCACAACAGGAGGAATAAGTAGTGCTGTTACATATAATCAATTGTCACCATCAATTGTCGCCAACGACATTGATAAACTTTTACAACGTATTAAAACAGCTGTTGATAACAGATTGTCAATTGAAACTAATAGCAATAATCGAATGCGTCAACCAAAAAACAATCATCGAAATTTGTCATCAAGTCCTATAAGAACAGCAACAAACAATCGTCGTCAACAATTACTTGCATTACATGCTGTATCATGTCAAGAAAGACATATAGATGATTATGATGTAGAACATTCTACACCATCTAATAACAAATACAACTTGGATTTTTCATCAAAATCACAATCCTTCGATGCGACCACCTTAAGTAAGTATTATCATAAAAGCTTGACATTTATTGCGCTTGAATTTATAATCTCATTCTAACAAGAATAGACTATGTACATTGCTTAAGTAAATATGGGCTTTCTGTTGACCATATACTTGTATATGTTAAGCTCAATAAGGGTGTTGGTTGTGGCTATTGCCTGATTTAAATGGTGGGCTAATGATGCTAGAAAAAAAAACAATACGATACAATCATTTCATTAATTTCTATGCATCGTCTTTTTTTTAGTATAATCAACGTCAAAGTGTGAATCGGAGTATAACTCAACATGATCCTTGTCTATTGGTTAATTTTTATTTCAGCACATTAACTTCGTTTCTTTTTTTTTGTTTTATATTTTTTAATATATATTCATTTTTTTTTCTCGCATCTGGTCTCATTCTTTCATTCATACGTTCTGTCATTTAATCGACGATAATAACCTTGACTTGTACTAGTATTTGATAGACATCGATAACAGTAAGGGTTGCACCGTATTGTTAATGTGAATATATTTATCAATGTAGCAATATTGGTTCGCTTTCGATTCGGTTCTAATAATAAATAAAGCTCTATGAAAATAGAAAAAAAACCTCCATACTAATGTCTTCTTCCCATTTCTCTTTTTTTTTCCTTTTGTATTCTAACTAAAGCACTTCATACATAGAGAGTAAGAACGAGAGAATAAGAAAGATGAAGGTGTCAAAACACATCGAGTCTAATTGCACCATCACATAAAGTAAGACATCGTTCTATTAGTAATGTATGTATGAAAGTGATTTTGATCAATGGATTGAAAAGTTTGCTTCATTGATTGCAAGTTCATCTTATACCATTGCACAACTATTTGTTTGACAACAATAGAATAATGAAAAAGATGTACATATATGTAAGTTCTGACACATATGATGTGTTCGTCATCAATTTATTGATAAAAGGCTTCATTTTATTTACGAACACGTTCATACATACATATATATAATTAAATCCGATCAAAATCGATATCATTTGTACAGCAAAATAGAAGATGAAATTCGTCTCTTTTTTTTCTTGTTTTTAATATGATTTTCTTATTGGTTATATCGATCTTGTTTACCTGTCAGGTATATTATACTTAAATATTCATCATGTCATCATACAAATATGTTTACCAGAAAGAACAATGATAATCTTGTTGTTATTTCATATTCTGTTCTTTTTTTTTCTTTACTACGCCACTACATACTTACATATGTGAGTTGTGCATTAGTTAATGTTTTATTGCCCATGACATATATATGAGCTCGCAGGTAGTAAAAAAAATCTGTGTGCAAAACAAAGGAAAAGTAAGCATTATAATATGCACACATCGAAAGAAAATTGTATTACGTATTACTCTGTCATTGATCAAAATTTTTCACTTAGAGTCGAAAAGAGAATTGAAGAAAAGAATAGAGAAGAAAAAAAAATGACTAATCATTATATCTGTTGTAGATAACCGTAATGCGACAACAACAATAACAACTATAGATACAAGCAATAACATTTACGAAATGGTAAGAACGACATTCTTTTGAGGAAGATGACTTTTCTTTTTATATAAAATCTTTTAGACGACTTTTCATTCTGATGATAAAAGTGTTCAAACTGATCCTCGTATTCGACATGCTCGTTCAGTAAGAACAAAATGCTCTTTTTTATTAGTTAATTAATTAATTAATTAAAATGTGTTTTTGTTGTAGAAATTATTAGAAACATTACAAGCATATGTAACGGCTGTTGTTCGTTATCGTCAACATTTATTTAAACAATATACTCAATCAAATACACATTATGAACAACATTATAATACAATGCCTGAATTACAACAATATGAATATCGAGATTTAATTAATGTACGAAAAGAAATTCTTAATCGTTTCGAATGGGTTATTAATGAACTTGAACAAACAATCGAAAATCTACAAGCACGTCGATTATCAGTTGCTGATGCTCAGCGATCTATTGATCGACCGTTAGTTAAAGAAGTATGTTAATTAGATTCTATTTATCATAGTAATATTAATTTAAAATTATTTTTTATTTTTTGTTAATATTCTTTGTCTTATTATTCGATAAAGAATAAGCAGAAAAATTTACCATTTGTAAAAAAGATACGAGATGTTTTTTTTTTCAAATATTGTTAGGTAATTGAATCATCTCTCAATGCCGATCTACCACCTGTTGATGAACATCAAACAAATATAAATGATCGACAACGACCTACACCAAGTGAAGATGAATGGCGATTGTATGCACGTGATTTACAAGATACAAAAGAAGATTTATATTTTATTAATTCACTTGTTCATCGTGGGATCTCTAAGGTTTGCATTTTTTTTTAAATAAAATATTTCAAAATAATGTTATCTTTTCTTATTTTCGTAATTAGATCGATCGATTGGTAACATTTACAAATCTCTATACATAGTTCATGTATTGATCTGATGTAGTTATATATTTCTTGTGTTTATTACTATTTTGTACATTTATTCCTGTTAGTCAGTTTAGTTTTTACGCACATACGGTGATATATTTTTGTTTCTAGTTGTGCCTACTCTCAATCTGCTCTTGTTTTCTTTTTTCTTGTTATGTGCGTTTTTTTTTGCCTATATCAACGTTTTTAATTTTAAGAAAAACAAAAGAAATTTTATCAACTATTAACAGATAAAAAAATTTCTTTTTCTCTTATTTCGCAAGATATCAGTTAAACATTCCAACATGTACACAAATTTTATGCATGAGAATGAGAAGAAAATTATAGAGAAGATTAAAATATTATCAAAGAATCCATTCATATTCGTAAAGACATTATTATGGGCACAGCAGAATCGAAAGGTAATCATCGACATAGAACAAACAAACGTCATCGTTATAACAATGACATAGCTATAATTCATAAATGTCAACATAAGAAAAGACAATTGGAAGAAACATTAAATGTTGCCAGTAAAAGTTTATCAAAAGAAAACAATGAAACAATTGGTGGGTGATTCTTGGTCTTGAAAATGTTTCAGAATATAATTTTCTTTTTGCGTCTTTTATTTTTATAATTAGCACCACTTGTAAGTTCATCGCCATTGAATCCTCGTTTACAAGGTTCAATATTACATCATTCATTCCCTATGCAACGATCTCATTCAGAGATTCGAATAACTCCTTATGAAATATCAAACAATGAAATAACAGGGTATACGAATTTTCTTTTCGTATATTCATGAATATCCTTTTATGCAATTTTTGTTAAATAATAGGAGTCTGAATCAATTCGATCATATTTCTTATGATTATCAAATACATATGCAACGTGTTGATGAAGAAAATCGTCCTGTATTAGAAAGACTTTGTCCTGATAAGATGTATGTTTCAACAAATGATCTTCGAATATGTGATACTCAGCAATTACCACCACCATTACGTTGTAAAATGACTCAAGGTTTTTTTCGACCTATTCCACCATCACAATTTTATCAAAAGAAAACTACATTAAATTCATCATTTCTTTAATAAAAAAAAGTACTAATCAATTTTTATAATTCTTCTGGTTTCTTTTCTTTTTTTTTTCTAAATAAAACATTCATTTAAATAGTTATTATTTTTTTTTATTTAATTCTAATTGCATACTTCAACGTGTTATTGGTAGCATATGCCATCCTTCTTCTGTTAAATCAATATCATCAGGTGATTTATAAAAATTCAATGCATCTGTATGCTAATCAGGTACATTAAAATAAAGTCAAACCCAGTTTGTAAAGCAGGAAAAAAAAATGCTTTCCCTATTCTTCATTTTCGAAAATTTGATTGTACATAAAGATCATCAACATATAAATATTTTCCTTCTCCTGTTGAATAAACATTAAACACATTCAACAATACACAATAATGAACTAGTTAAATCTTATTAATAATTATTCAATATTACTTAACAAAAAAATATTCCGTTTAGGACTTTGAGCAACTAAAAAACTATATAATGAACGTTCATATAAAACATCTTGTTTAAGAACTAATTTATATAAATTATAAAATAAGAAATACATTCTTTTTTATCGTACTTTCATTATTAATTTGAACTTATTCAGAAAACTTTACAAACACAGCTGATTCCTAAGAAAAAATTCAATGAAAATATAAATGTTTAATTTTACACTAATTAGTCTTATCATTTCATCGCAATCTGTTTCGACAACATTACGAATTATTAGACTCTCGTGCAGTGATATTAGTTGTTTTAACATAAAATTTTATATTAATATAATTAATGCGGTGCGAAGCACAGCATTCATGTAGTCGTGCGCGAGTTTTTGTTTAAGGTGCGAAGCATCTATATAGGACTGCGTCGCGAGTTTTCTTTATATATTTATTTATTTCTTACTAGGCATACGCATCTAAAGTTGACATTTTGTGTCGCATTGATCTTGAAAAGCGAAAATCAGAAAATCCTCGTTCAAGCGTGAGATGAAAACGTCGAGATCGAATCAAAAGCTCCTTTTTTTTCACTTTTCGTTATGTTATCCCGTTCGCATATAAATTACGTCCAAAAGAAACAAATTTTTCAGGACTTTAATTTTTTTCAAGCTTCGAGATAATTAAAACAAAAGTTAGATGCCACTCTCTTTGCTCACATAAAAAACAGTTGTAAGTACAGCTGATGGCATATAATGAATCATATCAACAATGTTCTTCAGAAACATGTTGGCAAGCTTTCATAGAGTTCTCGCAGTGATGAAATCTCTAAAGGCTACTTTTTAGTTTGTATCAGATTTTGAGCAACTGATTGAAGGAAATCCAACTTTTTCGAGATACGACGATCGACAGAAAATTCCGCTTTCGATGAAGAGAAACAACTTTAAGAGAAACACCATTTGAGTTTGTCTCGAGAATCGATTTTTCGTTTTTTAAAGAAACTCGATAATTTCACATAGACGATATTCATAATTCGCATCTTCTCTCGTTTACTTTCTCGAATATGCATCACAAGTCGTCATTTTGTGTCGCGATGATCTCGAGAAGCTAGAGTCACAAAAAAAACACTTGAAACGCGAGGTACAAATATCAAGATCGAACTGCTGAAATATTTTTTCCATTCTTTAACCGAACATTCTGTTCACTCATAAATATCGTTCCAAAAAGATGAATTTGACAGGACTTAGAGCTTCCTTCATTTCGAGATAATTAAAATGAAAACTTTAAAAAAGTTAGGAGCCACTCTTTTTTCATATATACCAGGCAGCTGTGAATACAACTGGTCATAGATAATGAATCATACAGATAATTAAACGATCAATCGAAATCGTCCTTCAGAAAAGTGTTCATAGGCTTTCATAGAGTTCTCGTGGCGATGAATTTTATTATGGTGCTTTTTGAAGTTTCTCATGACTTATATCAGCTTGACACTTAAAGAAAGTAATTTTTCGAATTCAAATGATGCAGAGAAATGTATATGCTCCATAGTCTGTACACAATTCAACTGAAGATGATGATTGCTGTTAACTTAACACTCAAATTTTCGTTTTCTAAAAAATATCGTTTTTTCGAAGATTCAAGAGATTCGTGCTTCGCACCGCATTTCATATTCTAGTTTCGACTCGAATACCATTTAGTTCTTTCTTTCCTATTTGACGGACACATCGAAAGTTGTCACTTTGTGTCGCGATGATCTCGAGAATGGAAAATCAGAAAGCCTCGTTCAAACGCAAGATGAAAATATCGAGATCGAATCGTTCCATTTTGTTTTCCGATATTCATTAGATCATGCCGTTTATTTATAGATAGCTTCCAAAAACGGCAAATTTTTATTGACTTTGTTGCTTTTCAAGATTCGAGATAATTAAAATGATCAATCGATATCCTTCTATAGAAACATGTTCGTATGCGTTTATAGAGTTTTCGTAGTGATGATTTTTATCATGGCTACTATTTAGCATGGTCTTAACTTTTATCAGCTGATTGACAGAAGCGTAGCATTTTCGATTCACAACAATTGACAGGAACGTCTTAGCTCGGTAGAACGTGAACAGCTCGACCAGAAACACCAGGCAGCATTGATCTCGGACTCGATTTTTTGTTTTCATCAGATATCGTTTTCACGAAATATTGAGATTCATGCTTCGAACCGCATTTCATACTCGAGATTCTCTCGAATACCATCTAGTTAGTTGTTAAAATTTTCTTTTCTCGGTTGGATTTTTTTTTTTTTTTTCTTTGTTTTGCTATCAGTGGATGTATCTATATCATTTTATACATTCGTTTCTCTTATGAATTCAGTTATGTGTGTGTGTTTTTTTTTCTTTCAATGTAGCAGTTAGGCTAAAAAAGAAAGAACTAAATAATGTCCATTTTGTATTATTTAAACAATAGATATATATGGATTGTTCTGTAATTGGTTTCCTTTTCTTGAAGTTAAATAAACCCATATTCAATTACCATCTATTTTCTCATGAGTAGTTACGATAGAGAAAAAAACATCGAACACAAACTCGTTTGTTTCATTTTTATTTGTTATAGTATCTTGCATTGGTTTTGTAACTGTTCTTTATCTGCTTTTGGTTTTATATTAACAATTGAATTAGATTTTGTTGAAATAAGTAACTATTGTTGTAAAGGAATGATTGGTAGTTCACTAAAAAATGATTTATTCTCTAGCCTAGTATTTTCTATCAAAAAATTATATTGGTTGATAAGTCAAGATTTTTTTCTGCTTGCCACTAGCACTATTGTCACTCGATGATAATAATGATGATGTTATTATCGGCTTCTTTTCTTTTTCTTCTTCTCCCTGATTCTTTACTATCGATTCCGAAGAAGCATAGGCTTTGAACATTTTTTTTTCTTTTGTATATTAATAATGTGCAACATCTAGAACAAAATGAATGCTGTTGTCAGCATTCATTAATATCATGTCATATAAAAATAGGTCATCTATTCCATCTAAATCGATTATAAAGAACAAGGCTATAGTTAGGAGATCTAAGTCTTCATTTTAGATAAAATATTACTGAATAGAAGAAGAGAGTGGGAAAAACATTTCGCAATAACTTACAATATGAAATTTCTTCTTTTTTCTTTATTAACTTCTGACTGTAGACCTTATAGGAAAGGAAAAAAAAAGATATTTTGCGCGTGTTTGTCATTTACTGTCAAATAATAATAATAATATACCTCATGAACAAGTTAGCGTTCTATGTCTCTAAAAATAACTAGACGATCAATCTAAAGAAAACAAAAACAAACAAAAAATGTTCGTGATAGTATAATGATCAAGAGATAGTCTAAAGGTAAAAAATCACAATTGATGTTTCTATTAGTTCATGATTTTTTGTCTACTAAGATAGTCTCTTTTCAAGTTCTTGTCTATAAAATTGCAATATTTTTCGAGGTATTGCTTTAGCTATAGAAACAGCTTGATCAAATAAATTCATATCAAATTCTCCACTTGCATGCATTGTTAATATATCATTTAATGTTATTTCAAAAACAAAAAACAAAATAAGTTGTTGGTGCCAACTCATCTTTTGTTTTTTGGTAATGATAATAAACCTTGTGACGTATGTTGAACAATTGGTACAGCTGCAAAAGCATATTTCATTGGTAAATTAGCATCAAGCATTGTTCAACAAAGTGTATCACATAGACATGCAAGTATTATTGCTTCACTAGATAAATTTTATTCTTCATCCATAACTATATTTAATTGTCAATGTGGATAATGTTCAGTTAATACAGTTGAATGAACTAATGTTTCAAGCCATTGTTCAATAAGCTTATCTTTAATTGCTGTTGAATTTGTATTATTATTACCTGGTCGTGCTTGAAATGTAATATCAACTTGAAGGCGACTAGTTTCATTTTGTTGTAATTGTCAAAGTTCACTAGGTTCATTAAGAAGGCATGTAGATAAGGGCCCGTCCACGTAAGCCACGACCGACAGTGCTCAATCGATATCCTTCGATTCAGTTTATTTAAAAATATGTGGTGGAGACAACAGTTTGATGATTTTTGGCGAAAGTCGATTCAAAAGACATTGAACCCTCGATATTTTATCGAATTTTTACGAAGAGCACTATAAAACCCCATTATCATCGGAAAGGGATTTTTAGCGCACTTTATCTTAAGAACGACTCAACCTATTGGGTTGAAATTTTTTGCAGTTCTATACACCAACAAGTTCTACGCATGTGGCGTACTTTAGCAGCTCATATCTCCGCATTGAAAAATGATAGAGGTCTGACATTTTCTTTACAAATATATTGCAGTAAGATCTTGTCGCAGTAAAATTTTCAGCTCTGTTAAGGGAAGCGTTCGTCCTAGGTACTTTTAGCAAAATCGAGTTTTTTTGCAAAAATCCCTATTTTGGGTCTTAGTTTTCAAGAGGCATGACCCCTGAAACTTTGCTCGAGTTGTCTACTCTGAAAGACTTAAGTGAGATCTACAATACGATGCAAAAACCAACTTGAGACACACAGAAACGGCTTTGAAATCGATTCATCTTTTTGACAAAAAATGCAATTGATAGCTTTTCTTCTGGGTACCCCACCTTTTCCAGATTTCTGGAGAACCCCTCATCAGAGAAAAGTGAGACTTTCAGAGCAAATAGATCTCGGATAGTCGAGTAAAAATAGCGCTAGACCCAAGTGTGCATAATGCTTTCATCGGTGAGATACCCCGATTCAAATAGATCAAAGGTTCGTTCGTTAATTAAAAGAAAAGTTTCATCCCAAGAAATTAGCTCTACCCACTGTTAATCAGTACACAAACCCCGTTTGATTTCTAAAAAAAAGTCTTTTGAAAACGAAAAAGACTATTTTTTTGAAAATTCCCATCCTCCCTCCCAGGGCTTTTCATGGAAACGTGTTTTTCTCAAATCTCCCTACCCCCTACGAAAATTTTCAAAAAAGCTTTTTTTTCTTTTTCAAAGCACTCTTTATTAGAAATCAAACTAGGTTCGTGTGCTGATTAATAGTGAGTAGAATTTATTTCTTGGGATGAAACTTTTCTTTTAATTTACAAACGACTTTTTGACTCATTGTGATCTGAGTTTCTCACAGATGAAAGCATTGTGAAAAAGTCAGTCTAGTGCGAATTTTTCTTGATTATTCGAGATCTATCGGCTCTAAAAGCTTCACTTATTTCTGATGAGCCGTTCTCAAGAAATCCGGGAAAGGTGGGGTACCAAGAAGAAAAGTTATCAATTGCATTTTTTTGCGAAAAAGATGAATCGATTTCAAAGCCGTTTCTATTTGTCCCAATTTGATTCTTCCTTCACATTGTATACCAAAGTGAAGTCTTTCAGACTAGACAACTCGAGCAAAATTTCAGGTATCACGACTCTTGGAAACCGAAGCCCAAAATTGGGTTTTTGTCCAAAGTACCCTGGATGAATGGTGTGCTCTAGAGAGCTAAAATTTTTTAGGCAATAATATCTCATCCATATATATTTGTGAAAAGAATTTCAGCCCTCTATCGCTGTTCAGTCAGGAGATATGAAGTACCAAAGTTGGCTGAATTAGTGACTTTTTCCTTCAATAGGGACATCCCATAGAATACCAAGAACTCAATCGTTGAATCTGAATTTTTTGTATGTGCAGATCTTATTGGTCGTTGAATCCACAAAATATTTTCGCTCCATTGGTTGAGTCATTCTTGAGATATAGGGTACCCAAAATCGCCTTGGGTTAAAGTGGGATTTTATAGTGCGATTCATAAAAACCCGATAAAAAATAGAGGGTTCAAAATTTTTTGAATCGACTTTCGTCAAAATTCATCAAACTTTTACCTCTGTTACATGTGTTAAAGTGAGCCGAATCGGAGGATATTGACTGAGCAGATCCTAAAGCAATCAGCCGTGGCTTACGTGGACTGGCTCATAAATCGAATTCAGGACCAAAAGTGTTGGATCTGGTGGACTCTATTAACGATTAATTCTTCGAAACTATGACTCTTTTATAATGGTTGAAATGTGTTACCAATGATGACAAGATAAATACCAAAGAAATAAATTCAACAATGAAAATATTGTTAGCACTAAGGCTCTATGAATATTAATCGTTATAACGATTTTTCCTGAACTAGATTTGAGGTTGCTGAAATATAATTCAGGAAATGAATGAAATGCAAAAATATTAATGCTTCTCTTGCTATAGCAGTGCATCTTTAGTTCGAAGAACAAACACATCCTTTCTTTGATCAAAGTTAGAAAACAAAGAATGTTCATAAATATGGATTTTTTAGAAGATTATGTAGTTGTCTCACTATTATAGTAACTTTTTGGGTCAACATAATTATTGTATTATTCTTTATCTCAACTTCTCTCCAAATGGAATCTAAATCGAATAATTCACAAAATGCTATTTTATTTAATGAACTAATTTCATTTGCTTTATTTAAAACTAAAAGAATATTTTTTTTGGTTTAATTGTTGTTTGTTCACATGTTTCTTTTAATTGTTCAAATGTAAATGAAATAGTCCATGATGGATAAATATTTTTTTGAGCCCGCAATTAGACAGATTTGAGCCCGATGAAATTCGTCCGGGCTCAAAAAAATGTTATGTGTCTGTTGAGCCCGACTATCCATTGTTTTGAGCCCGGCCGTAAGATATTGTGTAGATGGCACGTGCATGATAAATTTCATCAATACGATAGATTATCATGATGCGTAACTTGTGTACATTCAGTATTTTTTGAATTTCTTACACGTTTGTTATTGTATTTCTTAAACATTTCACTATGCCCAACCGAACGTGGAATATTGTCGACAAATTTTTCAGTGAAAATGAATTTCAATCCTTTATCGTACAAAATGCTGTATCTATAAAACGTACAGAAGAAATTGAAGCTGGAAAGAAGGTCATATATCGATGTTCAAAGTACAGAAAATATCCTGAGTGCGATTTTCAAGTCAAAGTTATTTTTTCTTATGATGGTGGAATAACAGTTTCAACATCCAATGAACATAATCATGCTCATCGTGCATCAACAACACGAGCACCATCACCAGTTAGAGAAATTGTTATAAATTCTGTTGCAGCTGGTCTTTCTTACATTCAAACACATCGAGCTATTGAACATCAATATGAAAGTGTTGTTTCACGTTCACAATTATGTAGTTTATTAAATTACCATCGATCACTAAAATTACCCGATGTAAATTTTGTCGATGATTTTTTTCTGTTATATAAAATTATGTTATTTTTTTTGAACTAAATAAACTATAGCAGGTTCAGAACAATGGATAATCGGGCTCATTTCATATTTCGAAGTCAAAAGACACAAAACATTTTTTTTTTGAGCCCGAACTAATTTCATCGGGCTCAAATGTTTCTAATTGCGGGCTCAGAAAAATTCTTGTCCGTCCATGATTGTGTTGAATCAATAACATAAATTATTTTTCTCAAAATGTATACTCATGTAAATTGATTTCCATAAACAATCAAATATTGCAGCAAGTTCATGTAAATCAAATAATTGATTTCGTTTATACTTCATTGTTGTTATTGTTATACCAATAGTTGTTGTATAAAGAAATTCAACATTAATTATTTTTGATGATGATGAACAAATATTATCTAAACATTTTATTAAAAGACTTTTCCACTTCAACGATTTTCAGGTACAAGAATTTTTATTGTTAATATATCAGATATAAATCTATAATGAATCAGTAAAAAAAACCCTAATAAAATCTCTTGACTATTAATTTTTTTGTTTTATTTTAGAAAACAAAACAATGTAAATCTTTACAACACTTATATATGTCCTAGAAAACAAAAACGAGTTCTTGTAATAATTACAACAAAAGATGCTGAAAATTTTTTTTTTTCTTGTTTGAGTAAAAAACAGAAAATACAGATATAGACAAACAAAATGAAGAAAAGATTTTGTTTGTTTTTTTTTCAACTAATCATACATTTAGGAAAAAAAATAAAACGGACATTAAATTAATTCTGATTGATTATTACTGATTCAGCAATACTACCACCATCCATTTATTTGACTATCACAAGATAAATATGAAGGTGGTGGCATTGTTGAAATAGATGAGTACGATAGTGGTAGTGCAAGTGATTGAGATTGAGATTGTTCAAAATTTGGTGTTGGATTTATTTGAAATATATTTGCTTTTTGCCAAAAATGATTACATTGATTATGATATTTTTCTAGAATTGAAGATTCAATTGGACCGTAATCACCTAATTGCATATTTTCATAGATATTTGAATATAACTGAATAAATAGAAAATATATCGAATAGAAATTTTTAAAAAAGTGCTGACTTGTAGATTTTGATCGATAAAACTTGGATCTACTGTTGTAAGAAATTTAATAGCTTTAAGATTATTCATCGAATTAATGAGAAGCAACACTCTTCGGCTAAAAAAATGAATTTGAATGAATAACTAGGTTCATAAAAGATATTTACCTTCAACACGATGAATTAAGGAATTTGAATGATTTTTAATAAATTCACTATTTAATTTTTTTTTTATTGAATGTTTTTGTTTAAATTAAAATTTTTTTAAATTTATTATCAATTAATGTTCGTAGTCGTTCATCGACTATAGGTTCATCTTGAAGTGAAACAGAAAAAAAACAAAGATTTATCAAATAAATTCTTTGTTTAATTTTTCTTCTTTTCGATCTAACCTAGTTTGTGAAATTTCATTAGACATGAATGAAGTTTTGCATTGTTTGTGTCTAATTTTTTCATTCATTTTAAACTACGTAACATTAATAAATATTTTTCGGAAAGAAAATCATTGTTGTTGATCGGTTTTTTTTTGCTTTTTTATTAAAGTCTCTAAAAACTTTCGTCAATAATAAACTTCAAAACCTAAATAATGTGTTTCCAGGATAGTGCTTGAAAAATCTTCTAATGGTTTTTCACACCAAGGAAAAAAAAACACAAATCAGAAAAATATCAGATGAATAGATAATTCTTTAACATACGTGTTCAAGTTTTCCAGCAAGAATTTCATCTTCTTTAACTTTTCTTCTTCACTATTATTTTTATTTCGATTACGTTGAGATTCTTTTTTACGCCGTTCAACTTCTGTTTTTCAAGCATTTGTCGTTTACGTAATTTATTTTTTAACTCATTTTAGCTTCATCAGCTGACATATTAGTAGTAACATTTTAAAGATAAAGAATTAAAGATGACACTAGATGGCATTTCAAACTAGAACAATACAACGAAAAAACAAGTTTTTGCTAAACGAAAAATTAATAAATTATTAAATTATTCTTGGCTCTTCAAAACTGCAACTAATGATGAATAAAATTTCATATTTCTTATGAAACAAAGTCTGAAAGACTTGAGAATTCGATTAGTATTTTTCTTTCTTACAAGTATATTTGAAGAAATAATACAAAAAGCAGCTCCTGTGTTCTATTTCAACCACAAAGTTTTTCAATAACTTCTACGTCGCTATGTTACAGAACAAATAACTATCTGTGAGTTTGCGAACTTTTTTTCCTAACTACTGAAACTTTCAAAATGTCACAATTGCGCTTGAATAGATTAGTACACCAATCAATATGATAAACATCATTAGGATTACTTCAATACCATAGATTATTTATGCATAGAGTTCTCAATGATGCGTTTGATTATTACCCAACATTCTTTATTTTTAATGTTTATCTACAACATGATTCTCGATTATGTCGAGCTTCCCAAAATGCTCGATTTTCTACCAATTTATGATAGTTTCGTAAAAAAATGTCGCTGCGAGGTGAATAGGATTGGGAAAGGAACGGTCTGGTGATAGATCATCTATGTAGGATGGACCAAACGACAGTGCCTTTCGTTCTTCTCTCTCCCTAGTCACCACTTCTAGCACTCCAAGGGTGAAAGTGCTTTCTGCCGAAGTTTTAGTCTTTTTCATCCGAAAAAAATATTCATAATTCTGATCCAGAAATATATCTATTATTTAATTTTGAGAAGAAGCAGCAAGAATATCCCTACCTTTTTGGCTATCTCACGGTATAGAATCTTGCCTAACGGCAGATTCAAACAACCTGATATCTTCTCTACAACTAATACCAGCTGTCGCTCTCAGCGGACAACCAATCTGACGCAGAGTTCTTGAGTTCAATTGCTTGAGCTTCCTATCTGCACTAACTAATCATAAGAGCAGATGTGTGTCACAACGTAATCAGTATGCTATCGAACTGATGATCCGAGATAAATAGCGGTTACTCGCTTGTCTAGGCTCATTTCATGACTGGTGGTACGGAGATTTGAAAAGAGTACTTAACGGATACGTGTCAGACACTCCAACCATTCAGCCATAGCAGTTTCCAGCGTGAAGACTACCCCTACAGAAGCTTATAATTCTTGTAACATGTACGGTGTGTCTGTGCTTCCAAAAATCAGTCGTCGCTCTTCTGAAGCTTTTAATTGTCCCTCCAGTAGAGAAAATCTGAATAAAACACTCGCCTGTCTACAAAATTATTTTAATAAATCGTGCAAACGAATATTATTCATTCAAATTAAAATATACAAGAGCAATCTATATAAAAGGACATAATTATTCCTAGATTGTTAATAAAATAATACGTATAAATGGTCTTTTTCTTTTTCAAAAAAGAAATGAGAATTCAATTACAGTTGACAATAAAGTTTGTGTTATTTTCAATGAGCTCATCCAAAATCTTAAACAAATAAAATTTCATAAAAACGCATGAATAAAAGAAAATATTTTGACATGATATAAAATTTTCAGCAAAGGTGAAGTTATATAAAATAAATGTTGACAGTTAATTTAAAAAACGAAAAGGATAAGATTAAACAATTGTACATATCTTGTTTTGCTTCAAATTTAGAACGTTCTCGAAATGCATTTTGTTTTTGTTACGATGATTGAAACGCACGAGGATTTTTTATGATCTATTTCAGTTCGTTCTATAATAATCAATGATAAATTGCGCATAAAGAATAACTTTTGGCATTTTTATTTCGTATTGCTATTCATTATTTCGCTTGTTTCTTAGCATTTATTGACGATAAAAAAAATCTCTTACGCTATTGGATATCTGTTACAAGCGACGTGTGGAAATAAAAAGAACCTATATATATATATTCGTTGCTTCTCTCTAAAACATAAACGATAATCAATGAATATACGTCATTTTCAAAAAGAATTAATAAGTGTTCTTCATTTCATCCGTCACAATTTATAAAAAGAGAAGGTGAGCAAACATAACATTGAAAGAGAAGAAAAAGAAACACTGATGTATAGGTCACAAATAGTGAAAGAAGAGAATTTTCGATCCTTTCACTATGTGCATGCAACAGACCAAGAGAAAGAAGGTGTATATGTAGAAGTAACAGAGATCGCTGTATGGGTACAACATAAAAAGAACGGACGAAATAAGAGACAGTTTCATATGTGTTGACTTGACTATGCATCATTATTATTCAGTCGTCTTTGCAGATAAACTTATGAACATAATACGATAAGTATTCATCGTTTTAGATAAACGATGGCTATCACTAAAAAGCAGCAAATTCGTGGTATAAGAATTTTATTAACTGTTTTCTATGGATTTCTTCTATCAAGTATATTATTTCGTTATATTATTCATGGAGTTGTTGAGACAATTCGACGACCAACGAATCCATATGCTATTATAATGCTTGTTCTCGGCACTCTTATTCTTATTTCAATTGCTTTAGCAATTTATGCTACATGGTATGTAATCGATTTTTTTTCTCTATAAGACTTTGCTGTTTGTTATTGAATAATTCTCAATTTAGGTTTGACAATACGATAATACAGTTAGTATCTGGTATTGTGCTCATATGTGTATTTATTTTAACACTTGTTTTTGGTATTGTTCGTATTATTAAAACGGCACCTCTTCGTGTAGTTACTGCAACAGTTGCTTCAAATGGTATGATTGATGGTGATGAATCATTAGATGCAGCTCAAGCAGGATCAGTAAAGAAGGCTACAGTCACAACGGATACTTATGCTCTTATTGAAGATATAACGAAATTAATCATTGAATTGATAGCAATTCTTTTTGCTATTCTTGCAACATTTGTTTTATTTCGTTATGTTAAAGCAAAATATGCTGAAGTACCGACAAATGAACCAAAAGCAGCAACTTCATCATAAACAGAATTAATTTTTTCACAATTGCCATTTGTTTTCTGCCGATGTATAGATTTTTTTTTCTTATTAAGATCTCAGAGACGAAATGACTGACTTTTTTTTTCTTTTTAAATAAATTTCAAAAATAATCTATTGGCTTTTGAATGTAGTAAAATACATTTTCTCATTACTATATGAAAAGAAATTTCTTTATAATAATTGTAAACAGAGTACAATAGAAAATATAAATATTATTAAAGTAATATGTTATTTTTTAGGTCTAAGAACCATATTTATAAGAAAAAAATGCGAATGTAACAATAAAAAAAACAACATGCATTTAATAGATATGTTTAATTCGATAAATCCTCTTAGGTTACTAAATATTAATTGTAATAAATGTTTTTTAGAATAAATATATATCTAAGAATATAGAATATAAACTATATTAATCTTAATCACAATAAAGTGGAAAGAAAATATATTCTAGGTAAATGTTGAAATGATTTTCATTTTGTTTATCTTGTTTGAAGATAATACAATAGTTATTAGATCATTTCGATATATTTTAATATGAGAATTCTTTTAGTAAGATAATATATTTCATGAAATGTTGGAACAATTCTCATCTTGATAGTAATAGAAGTGTATGTAGTATATGTTCAGCCTTCATGATGGATTATACTCTTTTCATATATAGTATGAGTAACTGCACGAGTGAGACTATTTGATTTAGTACGATTTTATACGTGTTCTTTAGATTACCTTTGTTCTTTTTCATAGAGTGTAAAATATCATGAATGGAATGGACATGTACCGAGACAATCATAGAGTGTTAAGAACCAGTCTACATGAGCCACGAGCGACTTCTGCAGAAGCTGTTGAATAGAGGTCCTAGGACTTTGCTCGATTTATGATGTGTTGTAAAGCGAAGAGTTTTAAGCATTGGAATTAAAACCGTTTGAGAAATTATCGTTTCATTCTCAAGTTAATCAAATGTTTCGGAGAGTACTACCGCGATCAAAGTACATTTTTAATAATTTTTTTTGTGCCATGAATATCTCACGAAAAATGCATCCTTTTTGAAATTTTTACTGTGCATACTGTATCAAGGTAATGTAATTATCATAAAGGAAGAAATGAGTTTAAATGAGTGAAATATTGATGAGATGATCGGTGATACTCGGCTCTCAAGAAAATGACCATTTTCAGTGTTTTCTGGATATATGTATAAATCATAAATGGATCATGTTAGAGAGCTGAAATGAAAGCTATAGAGCAATTTCATTGACTAATTGTCGGCTACTATCGCATAGTAGGTGAATATGTAATTTTTATGCTTGGAAGGGATTTTTATTGCTGAGAAATGGTTATATATGACTTAGAAAATTATTTTTAAGAAAGTAAACCATTTCTCGAAAGACAAACTTTCCACAAAAGTTGCCGATAAGGGAGACTCTTGCCACATTTAAAAAAAAACGTTTTGTTCGGAAATATATTATTGCACACATCGTTTAATGTTGTTTCACGCACTGATTGCGACTATCACATTGGTTTTTCACTGGCATGTTATTTTAAGGACAAAAACAAGGACTTACAGTAAAAAAAGCAGGGCTTTTTGGAAGCTCGCAGATTAGTCAAGATTCACTAATAGTATTCGACACTATAACCAACCATGGGTCCCATAGGGAAGAATATTCACTGAAAGTTTCAGCTGACTTTGATTGGAGCTGTTTGTAACGTTTACAGAGTCGAACAAGTCGATTTTTGGGAACATTCTTACCATAATAGTCAACATTTCTTTTTAAAAGAGTCACTTCTTATTGTGTATAGATTGATACGACTCGATGAACTGATTTCGAATATTACCTTGATGTTGTACCAAAATGATGTCTTCTTTATAAACATAAGAGTTTGGAAGCAAAAATCTTGTTTTTTGGCAGACTCTTATCTCCAGCTGTGCTTATCAATATGAAATGGCGCTATTGGCTACAAGAAACCAGCTGTAGGAGAATAATTAACGGAATTTTGTGATCGATCGGACATGAATTGTGCTGAGCGGTTAAAAAAACGCGATAGGTTGGTTATCAGAACCTGATCGAACACAGGAACTGACATTCTTTTTTCGAGAAATACTTATTGCTATGAATAGTTTGATGCAGCTGGGTGCACTGAATTCGAAGATCATCTTGGTTTTACTGTAAAATGTTCATATATTAGCATAACTAACGATTCTGGAACAGAAACCGTGTTCTTTGGAAAACCATTAGCACTGTTTCTACTTACTGGTACAATTCGGCGTTATGGTCAACGACAAATCACATATAAAAGAATAATTAATGAATGTTTGAAATAAATCGAACTTAAATTGTATTGAACGTTTACAAATTACCGTATGATCGATTGTTCGACCTATTTTCGGCCCAGTTATCACTATGTCGCTATTCCATTTCTAGCTCTATTGAATCAAATTTTTCATATGATGAAGTTTATGGACCGATTATCTGTTTTAGATAGTTTTTTTATTTCAAGTTTGATAACTTAGCGATAGCAATGATTTCCGTATAATCTCCGGTTTACGAAGATATTTTTTTTACGATGAACATTTCCAGAACTTGACTTGATTTCTGACAATCTTATTTTATGATTAGATAGAATAAACATAAATACATTTATTCCAACATTTGTACTTTGGTAAAGTAAACGTTCGATCATGTAAGGTAGGTTGTCCACTATGCGTGGTACAACGGACTTAATATGATCATCCACAAGGTTCCTTAACTAGACTTTGCTAGCTTTGAACTTCAATCTTAAGTACATAGTGTGCAACAAGAACAGGTTTTTTTATGCCTAAAATAATGAGTTATGTCCAAATGTGAATAAGAAAAACTAAGCTGAAGTCAAATCACACGATAAACTGGCTATTTTGGCCAAAATATGTACTTCATGATCTAAGCTTGATTATGTTCACCGTGTTTTCTTGTTACGCCGATGCTGCATCAGCGTAAAAATTTGATCAACTTCTGGAGATTTCCGCTAATATCGTCTAGTTCTCTGAAAAGTCGATAGTGCCATCGTATTCTGCATGCTCAAGAACCTATATCTATCCCTGCTTTTGAAGCAAAATATGGTTGCTGTGGAGCTTCACAAAATTGGATTTATTTAAAGGAATATGTGATTTAATGAATATGAATCATTGCTCTTCTAACTCATCAGATCAACTCAAGTGTTCTGAAATGTTGAATATAACTATATGTTTTTGATCATCTGAAACATAATGGCAGGAAAATTTTCTAAGAAACTCTTCTATATTTCACGGCATGTTCAAAAGTTCTATAGAACATTCTGGTGCGCAGTTTTCTATTTCTTCTTCAAGTACGTTTAGATGGAGCTCAAAAATTTACTATTGTCAGACATTTTCATATTGAAGTAGCATTGTCTTTACAAGAACACAGAACAAGTACAATCTAACATAAATACTGAAATAGGTATTTTGGTCCGAAATCGTCCACATGAAATTCGTTGTATTCAGCAGGAAATGCAAATCTGTTCATTCTACATATCATCTTCATGATCAATATTTATGAATATTCGAACTTTGTAACAACATTTGAACGAAAATCGTACGATTCTCCCATCTCTAGATCATCGTTAGACAAACTAGCGATTTGAATGGTGGATTGAGAAAATAACAAAAACCTCCCGAACGATAGCTATACGGTGTTTCGCACTGTAAAAAATAAAAAATTCACAAAAAACTACATGAATCATGGATTTCACACCGCCTTTATTAATCATAATTTTTCATTTCATCTATGACAGTTTACAGAAAGAAAGAGAAACGGTGAAGGTGAGTAAACATGAAATTCAGAGAAAAGAACAAAAGAAACATGATGTATGTGTCACAACTGGTACAGAAGAAAATGTTCCATCCTCTCACTGCATGCATACAATCGGGTAAAACAAAGAAGGGGTATATTTAGAAGTAACACAGGTTGAAGTATGGATGCAAAATAAAGAAAAAAAAAAGACAAAATAAGAGAAACTTTTGAGTATGTTGATTCGACAATGCACTATTATTATTCAGTTGTGTTTGTAGAATAGGGATGACTATCAGTAAAAAACGCCATATTCATGGTATAAGAATTTTATTAACTGTTTTCTATGGATTTCTTCTATCAAGTATATTATTTCGTTATATTATTCATGGAATTGTTGAGACAATTCGACGACCAACGAATCCATATGCTATTATAATGCTTGTTCTCGGCACTCTTATTCTTATTTCAATTGCTTTAACAATTTATGCTACATGGTATGTAATCGATTTTTTTTTCTCTATAAGACTTTACTGTTTGTTATTGAATAATTCTCAATTTAGGTTTGACAAAACGACAATACTGTTAGCATCTGGTATTGTGCTCATATGTGTATTTATTTTAACACTTATTTTTGGTATTGTTCGTATTATTAATACAACACCTCTTGTTTCAACAGGTGTGTCAGATATTCTTACAAATGGTGGCGAGATATCAGATGCAGTTCAAGCAGGATCAGTAAGCAAGGCTACAGTCACAACCGACGCTTATGCGCTTGCTGAAGATGTAACGAAATTAATCATTGAGTTAATCGGGATTTTTTTTGCTATTCTTGCAACATTTGTTTTGATTCGTTATATTAAAGTAAAATATGCTAAAGTACCAACAAATGAACCAAAAGCAGCAACTTCATCATAAACAGAATTAATTTTTTCACAATTGACATTTGTTTTCTGCCGATGTATAGATTTTTTTTTCTTATTAAGATCTCAGAGACGAAATGACTGACTTTTTTTTTCTTTTTAAATAAATTTCAAAAATAATCTATTGATTTTTGAATGGAACAAAAAAGTTCTCTTAATGACAATAATGGTCAAAGTTCAATAACAAATATATGTTATTAATAAAATCTATTATTTTTTCATGTTAATAAGAATATTTATAAGAAACAAAGACGAAAAGAAAACATTAGTATTTAATAAATGTTTCTAATTATTATTGGCATCAAATGTTTTTCAGAATAAATATATATCTAAGAATGTAGAATATAAACTATATTAACCTTAATCACAATAAAGTGGAAAGAAAATATATTCTAGGTAAATGTTGAAATGATTTTCATTTTGTTTATCTTGTTTGAAGATAATACAATAGTTATTAGATCATTTCGATATGTTTTAATATGAGAATTCTTTTAGTAAGATAATATATTTCATGAAATGTTGGAACAATTCTCATCTTGATACTAACAGAAGTACGTAGAATTTGTTCAGCCTTCATGATGGATTATACTCTTTTCATATAGTATGAGTAACTGCACAAGTGAGACTATTCGATTTAGTACGACTTTATACGTGTTCTTTAGATTACCTTTGTTCTTTTTCATAGAGTGTAAAATAACATTAATGAAATGAATATGTATGGATATCTCTGTAGTATGATAAGGTTTCCGTTTGTCAAAAATCGATTCTTATGTCAGATACATTGAAACCGCATGAAATTTCCAGCATATGTTGGAACGGTAGTAGAGAAACTACAGTAAAACTTTTTGTTCTATATCCTAACATTTGCGGAAAATACTGAACAAACAAGGATCAAACAATAACTTATTCGGCAACCCACAAATTCTTGCGCACCTTTATTCTATATATTAACATTCTTTTTTGCTTGAAAAGATATCTCAAGATACAAGGCATGACAATGGCTTTTGTTTTTAATCCTTACTTTTTAAGGGAAGAAAAGTTCAATGGCACAAAAAGCTGTAAAGAATGTGGCGCTTTAAAGATAAAAGTACTCTTTTATACGGCTTGTCATTTACAATAATCGAACAAAATGGATGAAATTCATAATAAAACAGATATCCCATGAAGATTCATTTTGATTATCTATCCTAGCTATGTTGTTATATTGAATAATTGTTACTAGCTTTGTATGTGTTACATTTCTCTATGAATAACTGTATCATGTGGACTCAATAAAACATAATGTAACATACATTAGATAATAAATCAAATGCAATAATTTCATAATAAAAATAAGTTAATAATTTAATTCAATTATAAGTCCTCTTTAACTTTAATCATTAGTAGTGAAACTCATTTTTAATTCATCGTGAAGAGTTTATAATTATTACTTGTTGTGTATATGTAACAATGCAAATTACGACTTCAATTTAGATAATTCTCGATTAATTTTCTTAATTTTGTTTTCCTTAACCTGAGAACTCATCAGATAAATAGACGAAGTCAAAACATTGTTCACTTACATACTCATGAAAAGCATGTCGAATTTTCACTTTCCGAAAAGATCAGTGATTAGAATCGTACTAAAGAATATAGAGTGAATCAACCGGTTGCTTTCTAATGGAGAACTTGTCAAAATCCTGTATTCTAGATTAGAAAAACGATTAACATATAAAGATTGAGCATTCCAACTCATATTTATACTACGTCTTCAGTTTTCTAATTAAATCTATCTGTTAATGTGTATGTCAATCATATTTACTGATTTTTTTTTTAGTTATAGTTTATGAACGATAACAAATGTTTTTGGCTTGTATACTTCTTTTATTTGCTCTTTATTTCTTAATTATAAGAGAATCGATCAAATTCAATTTAACTTTGAAGTATTACAGTCTTGAAATGATAGAATTTTGTTTCTTCAACATGACAAAAAACATCAGTTCCATCATATTATTTTTAATGTAAAACCAGTGCCCATAGGAATTAAAGAAAATTGGTATACTTCCACAGGCGACAAATCAACCTTCATTTTTACTATTCTCTAAAAAATGAGCATCTGGATTTTCTTATATTATTTCTTGTCATCATTCATTTCTTTCCAAGCTAAACAAATTTATTTATGTTTAGACGTATATATATGTATATATCAATAAACAACGGCTGTAATACACACAGTTAAACGAAAAGAAAAAGAGAAAAAAAAAAAAAACGAAGAATAAAGAACTAAGTAAAAATAACAAAGACGGCCGTAGTTTGTCTATCGTAAACGAACGATACCGGAAAAAAAAACAAACAAAAGTTGAACAAAGAAAAACCGAACGAAAAAAAAAGAAAAACTAATCTGTTAATATTTTCTTGTTGTTTTTTTCATAATCTGTAAGCTATCTACACTTAAATGTATATGTATGTATATATGTATAAAACAAAAAACTAAACGGATGAACACATAGATACACAGACATTTTTTTTCTTCTTCTAGGTGTTTTTTTTTTTAATATCATAAACAAAATAAAGAAACAAAATTTAATGATACATATAATGTGCAAACAATGACTTTTGGTTTTTTTTTAATAAAAAAAAAAAGAAATGAATGTATTATTAATCATATTTGTTGTTGAATCATTCTCTTTAAATCTAGATAAAAGAAAACCAAAATAATGAATTTTAATTATATGATAAATAATAAAAATAATTACGAGCAAATTGAACAGAACATGCATGTAAACTATCGCGTGCTAAATCAAGTTGTTTTTGTAATAAAATAGATGTTGTCTGTAAATGTTGATTAAGAAAATTCATTTCATTACCCATCATTTGTAATACTTTTGAAAGCTGAAACATCAATAAAAAAAAATATTTTATTATTGAATATTATCATGGATTTAATTAAAAATTTTTAAAAAAGTGAAGAATATTTTTTTTCTTTCATTAAGTTAATATTCAAGGCTTTATTTAGCTTCCATAATTTTCTACTTTTAGAAATTGACTTAAAGGCTATAAACGTTATTGAACTATGTCATTTATAACTCTTATATAGAATGAAATTACCTTATTCTTTTTTTGAAAACAATACTAACATACCGAAAGATTCAATTTTGTTTTCAAAGAGAAAATGAAAAAGAAGAATTTTATACACTTACATCATCTGAACTTTCATCGATATTTTGTATTGTAACAGTTTGCGGAAGTTGTTGCTGAGGAAAAATACCCGATGCTGCTGTTTTGATAATAGTTTGTGGTTGTGATTGTTGTTGTTGCTGTTGCTGTTGTGGTTTATTTCGATTTTTTTTATTTGATTTATTAGATGGTAAATGTGTCGTTTGTGATAGTTTAGTTGGATCAAGAATTCCTATTCGAGTTTTTTTATTTGGTGATAAAGGTCCATTAGATGTATGTTCTAAATGATCATCTAAAGTTCGTTGACGTTTATTTGATGATGAATATTGTGCAATAGAATTTGTCATCTGTTGATTAAGTAAAATATTTTCTGGTATTGTAACAGAAAATTGTTGATTCGATAATGTATTTGCATCATGTTCATGTTTAAAAAGTAAATTTTCTATTTCATGTGTATTTGCATGTGGTGTTGATAAACCATTATCGACAAGTGTTGATGTTGATTGTACTTTTAAAATAGTTGTAGTTGACGATGATGATGATGAATTATTTGCTGATTCAGTCATACGACGTTTTTCAAGACGTGCCATACGTAATAATGGTTTTCGATCAACTGGTGATGCTATTCGATGAGTTTTACGTAAATGATCACTTAGATTAACAACCCATGTTTCACAATTAGGACATCTAAGATAAATAGAAATCAATTAGATTGCTTTGTTTTTATTTTTTAATTCATTTTTACCGTAAACGAGTTTCATAATCATTTGTATGTGTTTGATGATTGATATTTGTAGCTCGATCATCATTTGGTGATGATCGTTGTTGTTGATTTGATAATGATGAATTTAATTGAGATTGAGTTGATGTTGGAAGTGATTGTTGTTGTAAACTTGATTGATCATCAATTTGATTATTTGGATGAAATGTAAATGTTGTTGGTAATGATGTTGCTAATGGCACATCAGGCATAAGTGATTGGGAAAAATGAACCATTCTTTTCTTAAATTTTTTTTTATTGCTATTACTAATAATACATAACTATCTGAATTGAGATTAGACAAAAAATACGCAATAAAATCTATTGTATACAACGATAAATTCCATCAGACTCATTACATCAGATGTAAATCATTACAAAAATATGTTCAAGATTATCAAAAATAAAATTTCCATCATCGGAATTATCGTTGTAAATGTAAAATAAAACGATTTAATGTTTTACTAATTATAGAAAATATGTTTTTTATTTTTATAAATATTTAAAAAAAGAAAAGGAATTAAATTTTCTTTTTCCTTGAATAAACAAATAAAAAAATGTATAGAAATATGTCTAACGAATAGCAATAACGTCGTTCGGTAAGTCATTACCACTCAACGACAAACAACAGCTATAAAATTTTTATTGCAGCCATTAATGTGTACTTCTTCTCAATATGAAGTAAGCATTTGACTGTTTTTTTTTTGTTTAATTCTTTTTTTATGCTTGATTGAAAAAAATTTTTTTTTGAGTATCATAATTGAATAAGAAGAACATTTGAAATCATATAATTAATTTAATATTGATATAGATGTCGCTATTTGATTGACATTTGACTAAGGAGCTAAGCGTCCTTTCAGACTCGAGTCTGAGTGTATGAAAACGTGAATCCTTAGCTCTCTACAACGCCTGCCACTTTTTGTGAGATATTGTACGTATTTGAATAGCTAAGAACAATTTTTTTGTATTGAAACAAGTTAAATTAATCACAATTTTTTAGTAATATATCATAGAAATAGAATCTACGTCTAAAATGAATTGTTTTCCGGAATGCAACATAAAGACAAGTATTAAAAAAA